CACTTGATTATTCAACTAATGTTTACCTGAATACAGTTATCTTTTTTCCCCTTTATTTATCTTGATTCTTTATTATATTTTATCTGGAATGGCAAAGAAAGCATTTTGCAAGACTCCCAGAGTTCATCAAGATTCTTTGGATTCATCTTTAAAACCTCCACCTTCCTCTTACCCCAGACGTGTTCAATAATGTTCATATCTGATGACTGGGCTGCCCAATCCTGAAGCACCTTCTTTACTTTCAGAAAATTTGATGTGGAGGCTAAAGTAAGAGAAAGAGCGCTATCCTGCTAAAGAACTTGACATGTCCTGTGGTTTGTAATGTAATGGGGAATACTGAATGTACTGAACGCATACTGAATGTAACCCCAAACCATGTTTTTTCCTTCACCAAACTAGACTGATTTCTGTAAGAATCTTAAGTCCATGCAAGGTTCCAATAGGTCTTCTGCAGTATTTGTGATGATTGAGATGCAAATGTTTCATCAGGAAAATCTACTTTCTGCCACTTTTCCAACTGATCACCTAGAAGTCAAGTTAATTTGTGTTGCTCTTACAACTATCACAATGTTCAATCTAACATTTAGCCCTAATCTAAACTCTTAATTTATATACATTTTCAGTTTTCACGCAGACTGTCCCTCTTTTAAGTATTACCCAAATGAACACCCTAACTAACAACTCAAAGTACCAGCTATATTTAATGCATGTAAACGGACTTTAAACCACTACTGGTAAATTGTCTCTAAGGGTAAAACACAAGATGAATGCGTATGGAAGGATTCCCCTGCAACGTGTGGGCACTCCCCATTTGTAACGCAGGGCCATTAATCAACATACACACTGTTCCCAGCCTCTCTGCTGACAGTGGAAAACACACACAACTCCATAAGCTTCTACGACGTGCAGTACTGCTCCCGGTAAAATACAAGATGCAATTTGTAACAAAGGAAGAGGGAGGTCGCCATACTTCCCGAGACAGAGAGTAAACACCCCACCAAAAAACCCTCACAAAAACATGAATGAGCAGATTATAAATACAGTCCCAGTGAGAGCACAAAGAAATGGCACAAACGCCAGCCCATGAGATTTACACTAACACAAGCACACACACATATGCATACAGAAAGGTCATAGTTAATTTTCATCACAGTGGGCAAAGGGGAAATGCGATTTAGGAATTAAAACAGCAGGGAGGGTGGCTGACGCAGTTATACAAACGCATCTGGACAAATGTCAAACACATAAACACAAATATACATACACTAGGGCTGTGTTATATCACAGATTATAGAATGGTCGGTTGCATTTCATGCTCGGTGGATGCTGATTTGTTAGTAGCTAAAGGCTGTCTGCAACGTTTACTAAAAACAATGAATCATGATGAAGTTTATCATTAACTGTTTTTAACCTTTTGATTTTATTCATGTTTTTTTTTTCTTTCTTTTAAATGTATCAGATTTTTTAATCAATTTAAATTTAAATAATATCAGATTTAATTCAACTGATGCTATATCCACTGCACTGCATCTTTAACGCTTGAAGGGTAAAAATACATCGGTACGGATGATGTTTGGTGATTTTAGCTCAGCTTTTAAAACTATAATTCCTCCGCACCTGGTTAACAGACCAAGTACCATGTTTGTAATCATTCAGAATAAGCGCGCAGGGGGGTGGCAGAAAAAAAAACGGTAGCGCTAGCATTTACAGTGAGGGAATGACATCCGATGAGGTACAGAGTTTGTTATTGTCTTAGAAATAAGTTATATTGATTACATAGTATATATGTTATTTACATAATGCTTTCAGTGACAGGTCAACACATGAACGCCAACTGACAGAGCTGGGGCTTAAACCAGCAACATATACTTGCTGTGAGGCGATCATGCTACCCACTGCGCCACCATATCACCCGTCAGCTTAGCATAAATTATTGAGTTGGGTTAGACAATTAGCATCTTGCTCAAAAAATTCCAAAAAGGATTTTGATAATTTACCTATATAAAGCTTGACTCTTCTGTAGTTACTAGTGATGGGTCGTTCATGAACGATTTGTTCATTTTGAACAAATCTTTTATATGACACGGGAACTACGAGTCCTGTCAGGGAATGATTCGTTCACCTGCGTGTGCGCACATTTGTGCAGGTGGTATCGTTCATTTCAAGTCTTTCGAATCGTTCATCGCGGAAAGGCAGAAGCCAATCATATGCGTTTAGAGCCGGAAAACGAATTGATCCGTTCACCTCTCGAGTCCTATATCGGGTCTGAGTCATTCGTTTGTCACGGGCCAGTCATATGCTTTTAGAGCCGGAAAAAGAATTGAACTGTTCATCTCTCAAGTCCTAGGGTTTGAGTCATTCTGTCACTTAAAGAACGAACGGACAAGAAGACTCGAAAGGTGAACTAATTATCATGTCTCCTATCGACTCAGACTGTGTACATTGGTTAAGATTATATGTGAATGTCAGTGTAACGTGAACGAACCACTGATATTTGAAGACATGAAGAGGTGAGCTGAGCTAAGAGATAAAAATACCTTCATAGACAAAAGAGCAGGTAAACATTGAATTATTAATTTCTCCTTTTTATAGTATTCTATTTATGACTTATTTGTCGCGTGATCAACCTTTTGGGCTAGTTGTAGATGTGTTTGGAAGCAATTTGTAATATTTTAATAATATTTTGGCAAATTGAACCAAATGAACGAAATGACTCAAAAAAATATTCGTTCATCTCAATGATTGATTTTCATCACAGTGGGCAAAGGGGAAATGCGATTTAGGAATTAAAACAGCAGGGTGGGTGGCTGACGCAGCTATACAAACGCATCTGGACAAATGTCAAACACATAAACACAAATATACATACACTAGGGCTGTGTTATATCACAGATTATTGAATGGTCGGTTGCATTTCATGCTCGGTGGATGCTGATTTGTTAGTAGCTAAAGGCTGTCTGCAACGTTTACTAAAAAAAGTATCATTATGAAGTTTATCATTTACTGTTTGTAACCTTTTGATTTTATTCATCAGTTTTTGGGCTAGTTGTAGATGTGTTTTTGGGCTAGTTGTAGATGTGTTTGCAATTCGTAATATTTTAATAATATTTTGGCAAATTAAACTAAATGAACGAAATTACTCAAAAAAAGATTTGTTCATCTCGAACGAGACTCAAAGATCCGAGTCAGTAAAATGATCTGAACTTTCCATCACTAGTAGTTACATAGTGTACTAAGACTGACAGTTGATAATATAACTAAACTCTCATTCTGGCATAATAATCAAGGAACTTTGCTGCTGTACCATGGTTGCAGCAGGCGCAATGACAGCACAAGAAGAATCAAGCTTTAAATAGACAAAAAATATGTTTAGCATTTTTTAAAATGCTAATGGTCTAATCCGATTCAATGATTTATGCTAAGCTAAGCAAAAAGTGCTCCCATCCAGCCTAGATTAATGGATTTAAAAATAGTAGACTGTGAATGGTATAAAATGAGCCTGTTTCCTAAAGTGTTCCTTCAAGAAGTTACTTATTTTCCATGCTGACCTAAAGCGACAAAAGAAAGCAAGAAGATGCTCAATATATAACATACAGTAAAATGTTTGACATAACCAGAGCCATGGATCATCTCCTCCACTGCATTACGCTGCACAAGTCTGTCAAGGTCACAAACAGTGTCACTCTCAGTGCTGATACTGAGAGACGTGACCCTCTGCTCCCTATGGTACACATGACAGTGACAGGCGAATCTATTTTCCAGAGCAAACATCAGTCCAAGCGTGGCCTACCAGACCCACTAACATATTATTAATGAGTCAGGACACTGTGTTGTTTAGGAAACATGTTGTTTCTCATTACCGCACAGCTACAGACAGAATGCCACAGTGGGCCGCTGCCACAGTTCCCTGGACATTAGCAAGGAAAGGTAAGGAATACTAATGCAGGGCTTACGCACAAATGCACTCTTTCTCACACACACACACACACACCCAAAATCTGATGCCCTGAGCAAAGCTGGAACCGGCTTGGAGGAGCAAGGCTTGCCATTTTCCCCCAGGCTGCTGATGCCAATGGGAAGCAGTAAAAAGAGCTTCTCTACAAACCACCCTCTGAGAATGCATTCAAAATGATGACCCACACAACACCTTGGCATAATCTCTCATCAAGGAACTGTCCGGTAGCAACGTGCACCTACTGGCCTTTTACAACGCCTTACGCATGATAAGCATCCCTCAGGTGAGAAGAGAGAGAGACAGGAAGGCAACCAACAGCCCAAGCACATGAAAGGTCAAGCATTACACTTTCAATCTAAGCTAAGCACATGATGCCACTATAACTTTTTATGCAATCCAAATAATTATAATGCACATGAAACTGTGCTCATTAAAGCAATGATGACCTTCTTCATCATTGTCAGATATTGCTGATGTACTGCACCCAACTCCCCCCTTTTTTTCCAGAGATCACTGTGTGATGAAAACATTGCGCCTTTTCCGTTTCCCTCCTCATCCGCATCCATCCACTGCATCAGCTGGCACTGGAGTCATGTCATCCTCACACCTCCCATTCAAATCAAAGGCAGCTGATACAGCAGTGCTTACATGAGAACGTTTGATGGAAATGAATCCCGGAGGCTTACAGTACCAGTGCCATGGGGAAACCTCCGAGAGGCATTTAGCTGGAGGATCTGCCTCTGCAGTGAACTCGTTACGCACAAGATATGCACAATCTGTCATAATAATAGCTAATATTGCACGGGTGTGATCATGCATTATGCTATTTTAAGACGTGTTGCGCAATCAAGATGACGCTTTAAGTAATGAATCAACATCTGCATGCATTTATATATTAAAAAAAGATAAGCAGTAAAAGTTTGAATGGGAAAATATTTGTGCACTGAAAGGGGATTGTTCCCCCTACCTTTTCTATAATAAATAAATATTAAACAAACTTCGTCACGTTGCAAAATGCTCGTATGTTTAAGATCTTAGCGCTCACCTGCCAACAGTCTGGTTGGCGAGCTGTCGCATCCGATTGAATTGCTTCTTCATTTTGCTCAATTTTTTTTTCTTTTTGGTTTCTGCGTTAACACCTCGAGCGCAAAGCAATCCGCATTTCTTTCAGAAGAAAGGGACGTAATCCGGTGCGAACATGCCCGTTATTCCCGTCACACGCCCTCATGGCAAAGCGAAAGAGGGTGGAAATGTCCTAAGATGCGTATTTCAGTGCATTTTTTTTTTTGCGCTGCCGCTCGAATGAGATGCTGCTGGGCGAATCTCTCGCATCGGCAAAGTGACAGCAGCGGAACGACGCGAGCGCGGTGCAGCATGGGAAGTGTAGTCTTGTTATAATGCTTTCAGTAAGAGTTGTGGACAGGATTTCTTCTTGAAAATGTATTGCAGTGCATCTCAGCGGTGTACACCACACTCAGTTCACTCAAAAATTTAAATAGCCATAGCTTTTTTTGCTTGTATTTTCTTAAAAAAAAAACTGCTTGCGTCCATAATGTTTGAAAATAGCAGCTAAGATTCATTCATTCATTCATTTTATTTTAGGCTTAGTCTCTTTATTATTTTGGGGTTGCCACAGCGGAATGAACCGCCAACTTATCCAGCAAGATTTTATGCAGTGGATGCCCTTCCAGCCGCAACGCATCTCTGGGAAAGCAGCCATGATTCTTTAGACACAAAAAGTAGCCAATAACATAATGTCGTTAAAGTGAGTTCACTCAAAAATACAGATTTTACTCACTATGCACTTATCATCAAGTGGTTCCAAAACGTTGTTTTCTTGGTCATTGGTTTCAATCAAAAACAACAACAACAACAACATAAACAACAACAACAACCAATATACACTAAAAATGCTGAGTTCCACACAATCAATTTGTGTTCTGACAACATGAAGAAATTAATTTAACTCATTTGTTAGCTTATTAGTTGTTGGTTTTTTGTTGTTGTTGTTGTTTTGTTTTTTTTTTTTTTTACAAATTTAAGTGGACTGAAGTAAAAATAATTTAGTTTTCCCCCTCAAAAAAAAAAAGAAAAAAAAAGAATTGTGCTATTTCTCCTCATTTTAATGGTTTCGACCATTCTTCAAAATAAGTCATTTTGTGTTCAACATGAAAAAGAAGATCAAGCAGGTTTGTGAAAAGGGTAGAGTGTGTAGATATTGAAAAAAAACTGCATGATGGCGCTGTGCATTCATTTAACTTTATTATTTTGAGCCTTAAATACTGAAAAAGAAATATCCAAAGATTATTCTGTGGATTTACTAAAAAAGTGGTTCTAAACTATTTATTTAAGCTGAATTTAAACAAATTAAGTTGAACATTACTAAATTTAATTAGTTTGTTTAAATTCAACACATAAATTGTTTGCAACAATTTCGCGAACATCTAAATTTTTCAGTATAGTTTGGGTTGCATTCTTTAATTTTTCTACTTGTTTTCTGGGCATGTTGGAGATCTTCATAATGTAATACTCTTCCATCTATTTTATTTATTTTCTTTATTATTTATTATATTTTCATCCGTCTATCCATTCATACATTCACTAATCAAATAATTTTAAACTTTTTCAAACACAACCCAGGTGAAAAAGAAGTGCTGTTAAATATATTACAGATGTACTTGAAATGTAGATAGTATGTTTAAAGCACAATTAGCACAAATAACACACTTCTTTAAAGTGCATTCTAAATTTGTTGGTTTGCATTTTAATGTATTTGTTTTAAAATATACTACTGGTACATTGCTAAAAAAATAAGCATAATTGCACTTGTAAAAAATATGCTAGAACTCAAGCATACTGTTCATGCCTTTTAATACATGCAGAGAACATACTAATTGTATTCTTTATTAAAATATGTTTTATGTGTACTCTGTATAAGCATATTGTAAAATATTGCCAGTTTGAGTGTAATATTTGAGTTGAAATATATTTTAAATACTGCAATTAAGCATGTGTTTTAGCCAGTATTTCAAAATATTTATTATCACACTGTTATACAATGTTAATTATCAATTGAAAAAGGTAAATATTACAGTTTTCAAGCATTCAAAAACCGTGCAGTTATTTGTGTTTGTATTGAACTTTTACAGTATATTTTAACATAGTAAAATACAGTTTTTTTTTTTTACTGATTTTGTTAACTAATGTTGAAATAAAGTAGGCATTGTCATACTTAGCAAGTGTATAAGTATAGTAATAATACATTAATGTGAAGCTTAAAATCTTTTTCATACCAGGCTTAAAATATACTTCCACTGAGCTTAAACAATACTTTAAATAGCTTAAAAATGCACTACAGCTGTGCTTAAATTATATTTCATCTGAACTAAAAGTATACTTGAACTGGGTTTAAACTATACTTTAATTGGTTTTAAAATGCACTGCAGCTGGGTTAAAATACACTTTATCTGAACTTAATATATATTTTAACTGTGTTAAAAATATACGTTAACTTTTTTTAAATATATAATTTGAATGTACTTTAAATAAAATACACTTTTAAAAGTACAATTTAATCGACTTAAAGTATGTCTTTTTTAACACAACTAAGTATGTTACAACATATTTAAATAGCTTAAAGTTAATCTTAAGTATTGATAAAATAACAATTAATATGCTTAAAGTTGTCCCAAAATAACACATTTAATATCCACTTAGTAAAGTACAATTAAAATATGATAATTACATCCTAAGAGTACAATGTAAGTACACTTTTCTTTTACCTCACAGCAAGAAGGTAGCTGGTTTGAGCATCGTTTGGATCAGTTGGCATTTCTGTAGTTTGCATGTTCTCCCTGTGTTTGCGTTGGTTTCCTCCAGGTGCTCTGGTTTCCCCCCACAATTCCAAAGACATGCGCTATAGGTGAATTGGGTAAGCTAAATTGTCCGTAGTGTATGTGTGTTAATGGTAATGTATGGGTGTTTCCTAGTCTGGGTTGCAGCTGAAAGGGTATCGACTGCGTAAAACATATGCTGGATATGTTGACAGTTCATTCCGCAGTGGCGACCCCTGATTAAAAATGTGACTAAGCTGAAAATTAAATAATTTAATAATGCTTTGTTGCATAACTTAAAAAAAAAGTGTGTTTGAAGTTTCTAAACGTGCTATAGAATTGAAGATGAGTGGAATTGAATTGTTAAATGGATTGAGGATGATGCTGTAATTAGATTTGTTTGCCAAGTTGCTGTGATTCTGCTGATGGACACCATGTCATGAGCCTGATTTGTCCAGTCAGTTCTGTTGACCTTATGCAAAAAATAACTGAGCTAGAGAATTACTAAAGGATCTGTGAAAAACACAACACTTTTAGGGATAGTTCACCCCAAAATGAAAATGTATTTATTTACTCAAACTCAAGTAGTTCTAAACTACTTTAAAAACAACAACAATATACTGTGAAGAATGTTAGAAATTAGCAGATACTGAATAAAGAAAATAGTTTATTTATATAAATTAAGAATGCTTAATAACAAATACATTTCAATTAAATATATTAATTAAGATACATTAATAGTTACCAGATAAATCATATTTTTAAATATTGTTTTCATTGTTTAAAACTTTGGGTGTGCGGCAAGGCAAAAACAGTGATTTTGACACCTATAAGGAGGTTGAATAATAAAAAAATATATAATAGAAAGCTTGTAAAAAAAAATATATTAAATAGGTTTTATTGTCAGTTTGACAAAAAAGAGAAATTTGACCAAAAATATATTTATAAATATTTGGATATATAATCAAAGGACATAAAAGTGCCCGTAGGCCTAAGAATTAACAGTTCAGAAGCCTTTTCCCTTTACAATCTTCAGTAGGCTATATCTATCTCCTCATGTGTTCAACAGAAGAAATGGTGTCAAATATGATTGACACAAGTGAAAGAAGAGTAAATTATGACATCATTTAAAATTATTGGGGGTTAACCCCTTAAACCCAGGTTTAATAATGATCAAAAATAAGTTAAAATATTCTCCAATATGCAGATCGAGAAGCCACTCATGATCCTTCAGTACATGAAACCCTAAAAAAATATTTACAAAACTTTAGGTTTTAGTTAAAAAGTTAGTTTTGTAATGTTCTGATGGGCACCGAAAAAAAAGTTATTTTGCAAATGTTATTACCACAGAGAACTGACCATGTGCGAAGTTCTGGCGCGTTTTGAAAAAGAAGACACCGCCATCTTGTGGCCGCATTTATATTAGTTGAAGTGTTCTGAAAGCTGGACATTACATTATTGTCCATTGTAAGTGGACATTATAGATAGTAGTATTGTAATGTAAGTTTACAATATTTAGTTTTGTAAATGGATAATAGTTTATGTGAATAAACAACCCTGCCTACTTACTGCCATTATCACCTTTTTTTGTATTACGGTTTATCTGTAAACACCTATAAATTTATGTGACATACCCTAGGTCAGGGGTCATCAACCCTCTTCCTGGAGATCTACCTTTCTGCAGAATTCAGTTACAACCCTGACCAAACACACCTGTCTGTAATTACCAAGTGCTGCTTAAGGTCCTATTGTTTCAGGTGTGGAGGTTGGAGCTGAACTCCACAGGTCTGGAGGTTGGAGCTGAACCACACCAGGTTGTCCATCAAAAAAAAAAAAAAAAAAAAAAAGCTTTATTTATCGTTTCAAAACTTTTGAATCACCTTTTTAATTTGATTAAATCTTTTGTAATTTATTACTATTATTTTATTTACAATGACTCATAAGTCATTCATTTGTTGTCAAATTAAGAGATTTTATAGAATCAGTGCAGCCTGAAATACTCATTAATTGTTATTTGAAATGTTTGTCTTTCAAACCATATTATTTACCTATTATACCTTAACCGATTAACTATTATCAACTATAATAGTCAATAGTTGTCAAATATCATATTACTATTATTATTAAAAAATGTAGTCTATATGTTAATAAGTACGAGTCAGAGTAGTTGTTTTATTAGGAATCAGAATCAGTATTGCCAGGTATTAATAACATTTGAGAAATTAGTTTTTTTGTGACAGAGCTTCTACAGTACAGCAGAATTAGACAGGACAAAATTCAGATAATAAATGTATTTTTAATAAAGCAAGTAGTGAATGCAAATACAAATTGACTATGTAGGTATATTACTAAATATGACGTTATGTGCAGTTATGTGCCAATTGGCATGTAAAGTATATTGTTAAATAAATAAGTGTATTTGTGTAAAAGATGTATTTTACAATTACTATCATAATGTGCTCGAGAAATGGATTGCCTGAGGAAAGAAGCTGTTTCTGTGTCAGGCTTTTCTGGTGCACAGTGCTTTGTATAGTGTCGACCAGAAGGCAAATGTTCAGAGG